AAGCTCTTATACGAAGTGTCGATTTCGAGGAATCCTAGTGCGAGACGTAAATCTTGCTTTAAGACCTCTCGTAAGCGGCACATGTAATTGGACCGTCTAATTGATTAGAGAGGATTAACAGCTTCGACGTGAATGGTGTGCGGGCTACAAACTTTGCTTACCGAATCGTCACGCGTGCCACATAAAACGTATACAGTAGCTTTAACTTTTCTCCAGTAAAAAAGCTATTCAAACGCTCCTGCACTTTTAAATTTAGATGTTGAATAAACGTGAATGAATGTACGACGATTTATTTTACTCTGAAATTAAATCTTGAAAATGTCCGAAACTTAAATATTATATTATTGTTGCAATAGTTTAATAAGTGAAAAATTTGAGTAACTTTTACGGCAAATAACAAGATATACTTTTAGTGAAAGGAAGGATAAACGGGCTCGTAGCACAAATTGAACGGAACGATTTCAAATCTTTTTCTAACAGCAAACATAAGACACATTTTCGCCGCTAACTGAAAAGAGCTAACAATATGTTACTTAATCCTTTATTGCGAGCTCGCACGGTTCAACTGAGGCGTTGGGTGAAATTAAATTGGAAAATAGGGCGCCTCCGCTCATCAACACAAACCTCCCGCGTCGAATGAGGTTTCGTGGTCATTGCTTGACTGCAGTCAAGCTAATTCAAGTTCCACCGGACTTAGCTGGAAGGCCGTTCGAACTTCCTGGTTGAGACTGCACCGGGGAGATATCGCGTCTTCCCACCGCCACCCCTACACTCCCACCTGCCCTCACAGGGAGGAAGTCGACAGACGATGTTGGAAAATGATCGAGAGCGAGCTCGACGTCCCAATTTCCCAGACGGTATCCTGTCCCACCAGCTGGCACCCTTTGACGTTCGCACCTAGCTTCCACGTTACTTTCAGCGATGAATAACCCCCCTCTCCCCACCCCCCGATATATATATATATACATATATATATATAGGATGTTAAAAGAGAGAGCATATCATTGTATAAAGGTCGGTTTCTCCTTAACAATATTTTCGAAAATATTTTATAACTGTATTTTTACGAAATATGAATATATACATATATATGATACACATTACCCCGACTCTGTCCAAGTTTAATTTCTGTAAAGGGCTTCATTTTCGTCCACAAATATGTTCGTAAACGTTATCACCCTCGTTCATCGAAATGAAATAAAAAAGCAAAGTTCTCTTGTTTATTTTCACTCTTGGAATGACATCAAGTCGGCACGAAAGTAGAGCAAAGAACGGAAAAATAAACGGAAGCGGAAATGGGAGCAAGAGAGAACCAGGGGCGACGACGAGATCGGGATGATAAAAGAAGAGGAAGGTGCAGGTGCAACAGGATCTCTAGTAGATTTGCTTCAACCGCGTTTGTATGCGCGGTAAGTGTGGATGCAGCTGCTATACGAACAACTAAGTAACCTAGTTTGCCCCGTGAGAAGTAAGTGCACGGGCGAGGGTGGAAAAGTGCGACTCGCAGGCTGTTTCGGCATAAAGTACGGTATATTATAGCCAGAGTTGTTCAATGCATTCAAGCTCACGCGAGCGCAAACGCATTCGATCTACACACGTAAATGTCCCAGAAAAAGAAATAATCTAATATATGAATTATGCAAATTGTTAAAAAAATATCCAGTACAATCAGTATTTCCAGTATAATTGGAAACATTCCTTTATAGCAAAATTTGATGTTGGTTCGGTCGTGTTTATAAATATCTATTAGTTTAGCCATTATTAGTTTTTGAACGTAAACATTTATGTACGAGAAGACGTATCAAAGTTATATGAAATAGTCGATCCAAGTTGAATTAAATGACCTCCATGTTGATACTGATTTTGTCAAGATATCGATGATTCTATTTTACTTGGGCTCCCAAAATGACAATTATTAAACTTTGTTATTGAACTTTGTCAGAGTATGAAAAATCTATGTCGTCTCGAAGTATCCAGTGTAATACATATTAGCGGTTCTTCTAATCTAACATTACTGCAACTGCGATTATAGAATTCTACTGGCGTCGCAAAAAAATCTTGTAAAAGGAAAGCGGCCTCCTTAAGGATGCGTTTAAATGCGGGCCTCGGAAAAAGCGATTCGCCTTTCTTCGGGATTGCTGTGCTTCTTTTAATTAATACCGAGAGAAAGGAAGACGACTGTGTTCAGACTGGCGCGGAAAGACAGCATTCGTCGGAACATCTCCCGCGCTCTTTTCGCGGATTTTCTAGGTTTTAATTAGTTTTTTGTCCGGTTTGTTTATTCTTAATCCGCAGTGTCACGCGGAAAAACGTTTTGAGTTATTACTACAAACTACATGCATCTCGGCGCTTGTCGCCATTGCGACATTGCGAGGCTTAAATGTGATTAAAGCACCGTTTTCCGTAAAAATTAACTTAACTCACCAAGTACCGCGCATTTCGCCCGTGTTGTTAAAACAAAGTGGTCAACGTATGATTTTAATAAATGCAGCAACGTTATGGAAATTTCCATCTTGTCGTGCTTTCCTCAGATTAATTATACGAGATGTCATTTAATCATGATATTTTTTATAAAATACAATATAAAATATTTTATGTGACAGTTAATAAGAAGAAAAAGGTTATTAATCCAATAACTCTAAAAATTACAAAAGTTTAATGCGCTAATCAGATAACTCAAACTCCAAATCTCTATTAGACAAAGTGCTAAATTGAAATTTAAAAAACTTTGGGCGCCACCACAACCATCGCAATAGATTTGGAGAGGCGATAATAATGCCTTGTTAAAAGCTTGGTCGAGAGACGATGAATCTTCAGGAAATGGGATATTAATCGGCATTTAGAGAGCGGTCACGGGAGACAACTGATGGATCTCCCAAAATTCTGCCAATGATCTTGAATTAACGAGCCGCGTTAATTTACGATTTTTTATGTGTTCAGTGTATATCATGACCCGCACACCGTCGTGACGCAAACTGGTCGATGCAGCCGAGAATCACGCCCCCGTAAAATCTGTCAACGGGAAAAATCGATTTTTAACGACCGTCCAGAATCATTCTCGTCGAGGATATTTTATTACCGCCCGCTCATAAAAGTAGTTTACAGACGGAGGCGCGAGAAATTCTCAGATTAACACTTCTAAAGGTATCCATTAATTTTACCAACGATCTCTCTAATTTTCACCAAAATTGTGCTAAGGGTGAATCTTGGGAGATTAATGCGCGTAGACGATGATACGCATAGCGTAATGGTAAAATATGATTTAAAATATAACGAATTAAAAATTGTCATTACGTTTCATTTGTGATATTTTCTTTAGTAATCAATTTGTATAGCCCAAGTTTTTCCTAGTCCGTGCATTCGTTCGAATCTATCCCCTACTCGAATTTCACCGTATATCTATATATATATATATATCTTACCCAACTAATTCTCGCAAATAGACGAAACGTTTCGCGGGTTTCAGTTCACGAGTCAAAGTCCTTTTTACGGCAGCAGGTGAAAGAGTTGCCCGAGGCGTAGCGGATACACGCATGATTACGATAAATCTCAACGGGAGGCCAATTACTCGGAGCAGCAAAGTTAGCGGGACACGTTAATGGCTTTAAGTGAATGGTACAATAAATTGTGCTATCTACGCTGCTGTTTTATTTCGTTTGGCAGTAAATTCAGCGGGAAGAGGGAAAGGGACGGTATATTTAACGTAGACCCTCGTAAATCCTGGCAAAGACAGCGCCGAAAAATTCTCAAATCAAATCCGCGAAATATTCGCAACAAAATCTAATTAGATCAACTTCCCGGTAAACGTGCATTAATAAATTGCCCCTTTTTGTTTAAAGTGACTAGTCGTCTTCATACTCGGCTATATTTATCGCGTTAACCCTTTAGCTCAGCACATGCCTTCTGTCACTTTCGTCCTTTCTTTCTTTTCCTTTTCTTAATACAGTTTAAATATGATATTTCTATGTATACAAGAAATACTCTAGCAAACTCGCTCAAACAACACGGTCGAAGAACGTAATTCTCTCTCGGAGCATCTCCCCTCTTCTCATCAGCGACATTTCTGGAACTCTGTCTCTCTCTCCTCCCCACTCTCGTTTTACCTATGCGTACGATTTCGCGAAATAAAAACGACGTGCCAAGTCTCAGACGCTCCAAATTTGTCGTGACAAAAATACGCTTTATCGCACACCGCCGAGCACCCAGACACTACGGTAGAGGTAGATTTCTCTTGCGATCGCAGTGCCGAATTAAGGATGCTCAATGCACACGCGTTTCGCCAAAAGAGACCGCGATTATTGCCGGATATTTATGCGTCCACTCGCGAACGTGACTTTACACGCCGAAAAACTTAATATGAGATGACGCGAGCGTGGCTCGCTGCGCATGTATCCTTTTACGAAATGCGCTTTCGCTCGCCGTTAATTTCCTTCTGCGCACAGAAATTGACAACGTGGCAACCGAAAAAACGATACGGGCAGCGAAGCTAGCGTTAAATTGAAAGACGGCATGCGAATTAAAGAAAAAGTCAAAGACGCGAAGAAGATTGGTAGAGGAAAAGAGTTGTGTTATAATTTATTTATCCGGACACCGAGCGAACGCCCGGACTCTTAATCCCACAGTGACTTGGAACGTCTCGTCGCGGTTAGTTAACCGCAGTCTTTAAATAGCTACGACGACGGCATAACATTATTTTTCCGAAGAAACGACGCATCGGCCTGTCTCTCTTCGAAATCCCCGCTATTCCGTCGTTTTCGTCCGCGTCTCCTCCGCACTTTCGCAGACCGCCGTGCCGCACGCGAAAGACGTCGTCGCGCGAATTCTGATACGATGCATACAGTTAGTTAAATTAAGAAACTCACGTTTTCATATACGCTCCCAAGAAAAGTCTCGGACGATAAATTTTCATTAAGAATTAAGATGGTATAAAAATTAAATACATCAGTCCTATATGGACAATGTAATGACATTTGTAAATTTGTTTGAATTTTCTGTTGCAGATGCGCAGAGGGCTTCACGGGTCTACGGTGCGAGACGAAGGACGTCAGCAGCACCGGAAGTGTGTATAACCGGCGTAGGGCACCCTTTTCCTGCAAGCTGGGACTCTCTACCTCGTACTACTGCTAGCGATAATCGCGCGGGGCCCTTTTTAACCATGAGTAGACCTTTTTCTACCCTCGCGGTGCACTGCGGTGTAGGAACCCACGAGACAGCGTCGTGAGAGAGCCAACGCGCGACCAAAGAGGGAAGGGAAAATCGTATGAACGGAGACAAGTAGGCGGATCAAGGGCACGGACGATTAGGCGAGGGAGAGAAATCGAGACAAAGAATTAGAAATGACGAATTTCGAATCCGTCGATCTCGGGCATTAGGACGGGTCCTATACTTTACATAAGGACAGGTTCCAAAACAGTTTGGACCGGGCATTCGTACCTTCTTCAATTTCTAACAGCTAATGCATACTTACATCCTTCCCTTCTTATCCTTCTTTCTCTTCTCCTTTTTTATCTTAATCTATTTTTATTCCTTTTTCTTCTTCTCCCGTGTGAATACTTCTTCTACTCTCTTTCTATGTCTTTATGTCTTTTACTGCCTCTTCTCCTTTTTACTCTCTCCCTCTCTACCACTTCCATCTTTTCTCGTTTCTCTTCTTCGAGCGTTATTACCAATTTTCTTTCTAGAAAATGTCACTACGCAACATATTCGCGCTTCCGCGGAAAGTTGTTCGGCGAGAGAAAGAGAGAATGGAAACGACAGAAAGAATGGGCGATGGTGCGAGAGATGATGAATGTGCAAATGAGCGTATGCTGGTGTGTGAAAGAGGAAAGGAAAAAAGGGGGAACGCAGTATCATTGGGGAAGAGCTCTCGAGCAACTATTCGCGCATTCGAATTGGCGGTGCTTGACCTAGAGGAAAAACACCGTCCAGAACGACATGGAAGTGCGCGAGAGAGAGAGAGGCGGTTTGTGTCGCACACTTCTCCGTAGTCTCCGCGAACGGGAGAACAATACCAAAGAGCCCAGGGTCTCGATCAAGGACGAGCGCGACCACGACGACGGATTGTCGCCTGTAGGCGATCAGAACGACGTGAAGGGCCCTCACTCCTCCTATCGACAAATTCTTTTCTGTTAAAGCCACAATCGAGCCACGATCGACGTATGTGTGGCCTAAGTGGCCTAAGGAGTATCGAATCTCGATACTTGATAAAGCCACGCCGTGAAATAATACAAGTGTGAGAAAAGGTTAAAGGGAAAGGTGTAGTTTTTGCTATCGTACAATGTACATGACGGTCTTGATCTATATTTCCATCTGCGAAGGCTCTTCTTAAGAATTAACGAAAGGAATGTTGGGTGAAAAGTTATTAATTATTTTTGAGAGAAAAAAAGGGAGAGTACGTCACAGAAAGTAGTTTCTACGGATCAAACTTGCATTTTGCCAAGCCGATTATCTTTTTCTTCCACCTTTTTTTAACAACTTTATTATTCCACGGCTCGGTTTTATGGAAATCGCGGGTGGGCTAGAAAACTAAGCCGTTACATGCTCGTCGCTGTTGGGACGCCGGTAAAATGCTCGAATAATGTAGTGAGCGTTAAGAGAAGATCCTAATCCACGAGTTTTCCATCTTTACATTTCGAAGATACGAACAATCGCAGATAAAATGCTACTACATAGAGTGATCGTTGGTTAAATTCATTTTCAGCAATCTAGAAAATTAACGATGATATCATATTGGTGTTTCGATCGAAAAAACAAGTTTTTCATGGAGAACCGACCAAGTCCAACAGCAGTGACGTTTTTGTAGCAGCATATTCGAAGTTTGTTGAATCGCATGTTAGGGATTCACCATTTGCGTAGATAACATAATGGTACGAAAGGAGGAGAAAAATATTGGCCAGTCAGCGAGCGAGTCGTAGGAGAGACACCACAGGGCAAAAACGATTTAATGTAAAATACGATAGTGTAACGCATTAGGCTAGCTAGAAGCAGAGATTATAAGGTAGATAAAAGGAAGAGGAAAGGAGAGACAAGTAAAAACGGAAAAAGAGGAATTCGCGAGAGCGATGATGAAATCTCATCTCGATAAGGATAGAGACACGGGACGGTCGGTCGAGAGGTTTTTGAGAGGTATAATAAGATCTGACCTCGAAAATGTTCTCCGTCCTTAAAATGCACGATATGTGGAGGAGCATTGACGGTATATCCATTTTACTTTCGTTCTAATTAAAAGCTCACGAGGGTTCTTATGAAACGGAATGGTAATAATATATCATGCCGGTGAGTAACGGAGAGTGTGTCGGGCGGAATCTTCGACAAAATGTTATCAAGAGACCGATAATGATCTCATCCGTCAGAAACCTGGACGACGACGACGACGACGACGACGACCCATGCACGGTGGGGAGCGAGGAATGCGCGCTGTGCTCCAGCAGTCTCGCACGCGTGCGCGCGCGCGCGCGCGGGACCCTATTTATGTTTTATATTATATTATATATATTATATATATATATATATAAATATGTGTATAAACATTTTTAATTTATTTATTTAATTCATTAATTTTATTGATTTACGATTAAATGTCATCACCACCTCGGCAACCGCTTTTGTTCTTAATCTTCTGTTGACCTTTCTGCACTCTTTCGTTTGAGCTACTTCTCATCTGAGAGACATCATCTGGACACACCAGAAAAGCGTTCAAAAATCTTTCGCCTCTAATTCTCTAAATATAAAAAGAGAACTGAACGGAGCATAATCTCACATTTTAAGGAAGAATTTACACATTACACGTACGGTTTCCATATGTGTTTCAAAATCAAAAGATATATTTTTAATTTTGTATCCGGCTGTTCCTTTTCATCTTGTACATTTCAAAATTTCATATTTTTCACCATTTATACAGATTCTATTACTTTTATAATAAAAATATAATATTTTTGATAAAAATATAATAGATAAGAGAATAATATTTGCAAATTGAGAGCAAGAAATATAGATATCTAAAATTATACGATGATCCGATTCAATATAATCTGTTTGTCATGATTCTTTTTCAGAGTTCTCATTTAAATAAATAGCTTTATATGCTTCATCTTATATTAGCGGCGAAAGTTTTTTTCGGTCCGTCTTTAAACAGGTAGGTATATTTTTATTTTTTGTGTTCTAATTTGCATTTATCATTATTTAAACATTAGTTTGCACAACATTTAATTTTAGTTTTCTTTCATCGACTCGTTGATCGTTGACGCAAAACGCGATTCGAATATCATTCATATGGTGATAATAGAAATGAGAATAAAGCGAACTCTTATAGCAGAAAATAGAAGTCAAAATATTTAGTTTGAAATAAAGGCGGAAACATATTTTACAAATAATATAATACGTTGCTTTTTGTCGCCAAGTATTTATATCGATCGTTATTCGCAGAAAATAAGATTTCCGACGTGAAAAATGTTTTAGGACAAGACAGAACTCCAAGGGAATACAAGAGAGAAATTTTCATACTTGAGGCATGACTCGTTGCTTCTTTCAGCATCTTATTGCATCCCGACGAGTCGTTTTGGGACAAGTCACTCCTCCTTTCGAGGAAATAGTTCTCCCAGTATCTTCTTGCGGAAAACCGAGGAGCGATGCGTAAATAACGCAAGGGGACGACATAAATTTTCAAATCGTCAAAGGATAACCATAAGAGGGTGAAAATTGATGGAGAAACACGAAGGGGAAAACGGCATGTACATTTATTCGCGTTTAGCTGATGATAAAGCAAAGCGGCAGCTCAATTCGTGCTTCACTTCTCTTAGGTTCAGAGTAAATGAAGGCCGTTTACAATTTAGAAATACTAGACATGACGCTTCGCGCACGCTGTTTGTGGTCAAGCATTGTGTACTTTTAAGAATTCGTACACACGCGAAGAGAGAGAGAGAGAGAGAAGTAATTATATGCGCAACGTCACTTTAAAATAAAAAATAATATGTCACTCACTGATACGAGTCGCAACAGCAAAGTTGTACATCGCTAACTATATAAGTTAAACTGTAACAATACAAAAATGTATACGATTATTATAGACTAATTATGCAAAATCCAAACTATTGTATTAAATATACTTTATATTTTATATTTAAAAAAATAGGTATTTATTAAAACAATTATATAGAATACTGAAAGTCTTCCTTTTAAATATGAACTCACCAAATTTTATACGTATGGTTTTGTCTCTAACACTTATTCGAATGCTCATTGATATCATTTGAATAAATAAAATAAAAGCACAGAACAGATGATTCATTTTGCACAAGTAGCAAATAACAAAAATATAAGACACTTACCTTACGATTTCTCTGCCCGATGCCGCTTAGGCCTGCTCCTCCTCTCAGATTTTCTTGTTGCACTTACACTCACAGCACTTACTCACGAAAATCGATCGCGCGAAATTTCGGACACTCCCGTACGCGATGTAAAATACCGTGAAATGCAGTAAGCGACGTTCTTTACTTCCTGCCCGTTCGAATTGCGAAGAACGACAGAGCGAATTACGCCGTGAACGCCGAAGTCGCACAAATTTCTCTCCCCGAAAATGGAACAGATTACACGAAATCGATAGATAGTTAAAAGCGCGGTGCGTAAACGAGATGTAACCGCGACAAAGTACCACGGTTTACATTCATGTTTTAGATGAGTTAGTCTCGTGAAATATCTATATACACGTTGATAAAGAGCCGTCGCTTCAACATGCAATTCGTTTCTCATTACAAGTTTTAGAATCTTAATAATTAATCGAGTAACGTTACTTGTCACTGATAAAGGTGTACAAATCATAGCGTTTTATCCCTATATTCGCGATCGAGGAAACCGGTAACGTAAAAATAATATCACGCACGGAACACTCGCTGCTGCCTGCCGGCCCGACGTTCGGCGAGCGAGTGATAAGTGCGGAATTTTCCATTACGTAGATGGGCCAACGAATTCTCAACGTTTTTTTGTTGTTTTTCACTGGGCGCGGTGACGTACGACGTTTTTGCGTGCCATCGTGTACCTGAAGGTCGCCGCTATCATTCGCTC